TATTAAAAGTATTTTATTTTTAAAATTATATTTAAATTTTTAGACTAATAGAAAATATAAGACTTTAAAACTTTAATTTAATTAATTAAGGTCGAATTAATATAAAGAAATTTATTTAAAAACTATTAGATATAGATAAGAATATCTTAATAAGCTTTAGAGAATAAGAAGTTATCGATTAATTTATTAAGTAATTATTAGACGACTTTATTATTTAATTAATTAATACTATTTATAATAATCTTAATTTATATCGAATAGCTAATTTCTATATATTTAAAGCGATTCTTTATATTCTTAATAAGAATATTATTTAATTTAATAGTTAAGTTCTTAATAAGTTCTTTAAAGCTAAGATTATTTATAATAATAGAAATTAAGTCGTTAATAAAGAAGATAGCTTTCTTTTATTTACTAAAATTAAAAATATCTTTAAATTATTCTTACTTTTACTCTATTATTTAAAGTTAAAATTAAATTATATAATAATATTATTAAGAAATTTAAAGTAGCGTATAGATTTATATAATAGAATATATTTATAAATTAAATATATTAAATTTAAAATACTTAATTATTATATTTTTAAGGGCGAATATAATAATAAATAATATTATATATTACGTACCCCTCTAGCTCCGCCTAATTTAAACGATTTATATACTCTCTTTTAATATATTTAATTTCTAATTTAATTAATCTTTAATATAATAATTAATAAACTTTAAGACTAGTTATTATAGTAAGTCGACTTATATCTATATTCTAAGATTTTTATTTATAATTAACTATATATAACTCTAAGTCGAGTTATTAATAAAATCGATTTATTAATTATAGTTTTAAATAATTTATTAAAAAGATAATTTACTTAATTAATAAGATATATTAAAAATAAGATTATTAAATAGATACTACTTTCTTAAATAAGAATATAATTAATTAGTAATCTATAGTAATAAAAGTAGATTATTTACTATATAGAAAGTAAGTAAAGTTTAATTTAACTTAAAGTTAAGACTTTTATCTTCTTTATTAATTTTATAATAGTAGAAGTAGATTAAAAATATATAGTAAGCGATTAAAGTTCGATTTAACTTAAAGAAATCTTATCTTATTTAACTTAGAAAAATGAAAAATCTAACTTTATAAATTTAATTTATAGGCCTTTACTTATATAAAAGAATAAGATAGATTTAAGCTAGAAAATCTTGAATTTATATATATAACTAATTATTAATTTAAATTCTCTACGCTTTTTAGCTAGATTAACTAACTTATTATAAATAAATAAATTAACGTTCGTAACTATTAAAATCTCGCCCTCTTATATCTTTCTTATTAAAAAAATAAATCTATATTATTAATATATAGAATTACTTTTTTATTTTCTATTAAAATTTTAAGTTTTTTTTTTAAATCTTAAAGCGCTATTTATACTTTTCGAATTTTTAAGAATATTAAAACTTAGTCTTATAATTATTAAATCGCAAGAAATTTAAATATCGCTTATTAAAGTTCGCTTATTAAAGATCGCTTATCTACTTACTCGATAGTTCTATTTAAAAAAAAAGTTATAAATTTAATTTATAAGTCTTTACTCGTTATAATAATAATATAATATATATTTCTATTTCTATTATCTAAAATAAATAATTTCTATTAAATATAAAAGAGGAATATACTAGTTAATATATTAAAATTTAGTTCTTAATTAAATTATTACTCTTATCGAATAGATACGATATACGATTTCGAGATAATATCTAAGAACGGCTTTATTCGCGATAGATTTATAAATTGCAAATTAAATAAGAATACTTAATAAAGCTAATCTAGCTTCGCCTTCGACTTTTTATTAGCGTTATTTATAGAAAATTATAGAGAATATACTTATTACTCTTATAATAGTTATTATTATTTACTATCTTAATTAAATATTCATAATATCGAAGCTAGTAGATATATACGCTTTTTCTAATATTTTATCTCTAACTTAGACGTGTAATAGCTATATCGCTAGCTCTTATTTCGAACGCGATGTTATTATTTAGAAAGAATTCCTCTATACGTCAGCGTATCTAACTCTTACTTAAATCTTATTAGCGATTTAAAGTCGTAGCTACGAATATCTATTTTAGTATATTAACGGCGTATCGATAAGAGCGAAATCTTACTATCTATGATAATATCGTAATCTCTTATAATAGATATATTTATATATAAGGGCGATGCCGTAGTCTCTTATCTACTACTTTAAACGCTCTTCTTAACTATTAGCGTTAAAAGTTATAGCTATATTAAGACGAATTAGCGATCTTTTAGAACGATTTTAAAGGATTTCTAAAGTATATAATCGATGTTAGTAGCTATAATAGATTTACGATAGAGTATTTTAAGTAGAGTACTATAGACTATATATTTAACGGCGAAATTAAGATATTTAAACGAGATTTAAAGTATTTAACTATAAAGATAATAGAGTAGTTATAATGAAATACTACGTAATATTAATTAAAATCCTTCACCTTCTCTATAACCTTTATAAGAGTAGTAAGTATATTCTTTATAATTTTCTATAAATAGCGCTAATAAAAAGTCGAAGACGAAGCTAAATTAGCTTTGCCAAGTATTCTTATTTAATTTGCAATTTATAAATATAATCGAGACTTTACGCTTTTCGCTTATTTAAGATTCTCTATAATAGATAAAAGTCTAGATAGAGAATAATTACGCTATATCTCTATTAGCTAATATATCTTAAGACGCGATTAAAGCTACTATTTTACGTTATACTCGCGATAATCGCCTTTATTCTTCTTTATTATCAGCTACTTTCTTAATTTATTTAATATTTTTCTACGCGCTCTTATTCTAAGTTAGTATATTATAATTATTTTAAATATAAAAATCTTTTCTAAATAATAAAAAATAGATTATTATTTTTATTCTTTCGAAGCTAGACGATTTAAACGTAAGCGAGCGTCGTAATTATATCTATATACTTTCGAGTCTTTAATCTTAATTAGATCTTTCGAGATTAAACTCTATAGAGAGAAATATTCTTAAAAAGAAGTAAGAATTTACTCGATTAGCTATTTAGCGAAAGTTTAATAGAAATTCTATAATATCTCTCTATTCTACGATTTCTAAAATCCTTTACTTTATTCGCTTTATTATTATTCTCGAATTCGTCTTAAGAATTATATAGTAGTCTAAAATTATAGCTTTAATTCTTATATTAGTCTTAAAAGTATTAATATCGATAGAAAAGTCGTTTAGACGATTAATATAATAATTAATTATTTCTAAACTCGACGATCGAGCTAAGTAATATCCTATATTATCGCGTATTCTATTATCTTTATTATTCTCTCTTACTTTTTAATCTTTTAAAGTATAATCTAACTAGCTAATATCGTTATTCTTTATATTATTCTTTTAATATATATATATAAGCTATACTTCTTATATAAGATTAAATTCATCTATCTAATTAATAGTAAACTCGTCTTCGAATTAAATAGAATACTTAATAATATATATAGAGACGGGGTTAGTAAATAAGATAAGAATAGTAAATCGACTTAGTCGTTAGCCGCGACGCTTCGATCTATATATATATTTTACTCGTTAAGCGCTCGCGTTATAGTTAATTTTATAAAATTCATAAAGAAGATATATTCGAAGACGTAGTAGCGTTTAATATTTAAGGGGATTTTTATAGCGTAATAAATAAGGCTTTTTAGAATTTACGCGAGGCGGCTAATCGAAGAAATTAACGGTCGCTATTTTCGCGAGTAAAGGCGGAGATAGCTAAATAAAAATAACGCGATAAGATAAAAATAGAAGTTAAAGATTAGATTTCTACGTAGAGTAGAGAAGAAGTTTAAAAGATTATTATAGCTGAGACGAGGGGTAATATCGATCGAGGCGTCGAAAGAGTCTTTTATTAATATCGCTATCTTTACTATCGTCTTAATATAAGTTATACTAAGTTTAATAGATATTTCTTCGATATTTAAACTTATTAAAATTCGTAAATTTAAGCTAAGAGCGTTACGGGGAAAGAAAACTATAAGATATAAAATATTAGATATAAAGCTCGAGTATAAAGAAAGAAGAAATATTTATCTAATTAATTAATTATTATAATATATAAAAGTAAAAGAAGATAAATAACGATCGTAATATAGCTAACGTATATCGCTTTCGCTATATTATATATATAATAAGATAAAATTAATAATAATAGAGTAAGAGAAGTCGTCTAATTTAATATAGATCTTTTTATATCTACGGGAATCCGACTAATAAATAGAAGGATTTCGCTTTTATATATTATCTTCTTCGTTATATTTAAGCTTCTAGAACGCGCGCGATATACCCGGAATTCCTCGCGGAATTAAGACGATATTCGGCTTTATTTCCCGCATTCGTATTCACGGATCCCCGTTTGGAATCACCGGCTCCGTCGTATCATGTATAGTATGGATCCCACACTGCAAGATAACCACGGTAGCATACTTGAAGGATTCGCTGACAAGAGCTGCGTGGGCAGTACTTACGTACGCTAAGCTCATTTCCATCCTTCTCGATTCTTCTCCAGCGTGTTGTGATGTGCGCTTTTTGATGTCTGTCAATGTTCATGCCGATGCCAATACCAGCCAGTCAGTCAACACTCAAGAGCTCTGTCCGGTACTACTTCCAATAACCCTTCCACGTCTGTAACAGCCGCCGGCCGTCTACGAGCATCGTCTTCAAAACCATCTTGTTCCAGGCGGCAGAGATTTCAAAGGCATCTTTCTCGCTATGATTTGGTCATGTCTTGGCCTATGAGAGCAAGAGCAAGAGCAAAACGGTATGTTGTAGAGAAATGCAGAGAAACAATGAATGGGTTGATCCTCGATCCTTGAATCTTGATGTTACCGAGATCTGCACCAAGTGCAATTGATCCCGCACCTTTTCTAACTAAACAACTACTCATAAGGAGCTTGTCATCATGCCTCCAGAGAGACGGTCCATCTTCGCTGTATATCCTCCATTTCATCAATGATCGCTCTCTGCTTCTGAACAAGCTCATGCAAGGCGCGAGAGGCGTCTCGCCCTGCGACTCTAAGCTTCTCGTAGCAATTCCGATGATGCATATGGATTTCCTTCCCTGTTCTCAAAGCCAAGTCGCGCCCGTTGTTCCCTTCCTCAAGCATGTGAATACGACGGTCGACCCTGTCGACGGCACTTTGCGCTGTAATTTGATTCGATTCCAGCGCTCGCATGGTAGACGCTGTTTGACCGTATTTAAATGTAGCGTACCGATCTACAAATCCATTGATAGCGCTGAGCTCCGTCTGCATCTCCGTTCGCCGCGTCCGTAGGATTGCTTCGTGTTCATAGCAACCCTTCATGAAGGCGTCCAACAGTGTCACCGTAGCTTCGGCATCATCTCTGGCGTGTTTTGCATCCATGCAGCGAGCTTGATGTGTGTTGCATTGGTTCCGAAGATTCTCAACGTCCATGTTTTGGAATTGGCTCTTATCCTTGACGCTTGCTTGCACTAGAGGTCCCCAAATTCAGCTCAGCTCGAATGATATATATCAGAACCACTAAACTTACGATCATCTATCATCAAGGGTTCTGGCGCTGTGGTGTATGCCTTCAAAGGCTCCACTGGCTCCTCACCTCTCAGCAAGGCTATGAATATGACCCTCCAGAGACTGCAGTCGTACGTCGTAGGTATTCGCATATTCACCAGCAAGTGTAGCGCCATGACCAGTACGCAAACTCCGCAGTCATACCCGTTTTCTTGCCTATACACACTGTCGGAAGTGAAGGCAAATGATTCTTTGTCCTCTCCAAGATGCTCGACGACGCAAAAAGCTGCCCGGCGTGCATCCGCGCAAGACGACGCGGCCGCGAGGGAATCATAGTGATGGACCGTGCGCTGGTCGAAATCGAAGAGTAACAATGTCCAGTGATTGCCATGGTGTAGAGGTAAGAGTAACCGTAACGCTCCCATCAGCCGTAAGGGCGGTTTTTTTAAAATCTCCTCCGGATGGTTGACGTCTATATAGGAGCTGTCCACCAAGCGAAAGTCCTCTTGGTGGTGCCAATGACTGAGTACAAGCTCGATTGCGGTCGCCGAGAGCCATTGCCCCGGTTGTAACGTGTCTGAAGCGCCCAGTCGATCCGTACTAGGCAAGAGCTCGTCCATTACCGGATTTTCTCGAACAGACTCTAAGGAGCTAGTGTGGTCTGGACTGCGGATTTGAGATCTTTGTATTACTGTAGGAGGTACTGGTTGACCTTGCCGAGGGCTTTCCGTTGAGCTGGAAGAATCAAGACTTAGTATGTTGGTCAGTGATGGTACCTCAACGTTCTCCGTCAGAATCCCGTTCAAATCAAAGCGGCGCGCAATGGAACTATCGAGGGTCTCCGTTGCTGGTGAAGAAGGCCATTTGATACCAGCGGTCATGTTGCTCTTGGTCAAGCAATCGTTGAGATCGTCCCCCAGAACACTCGGGTTCTCGAACCCCTCTTCAATATCACTGTGTGGAGAGAATGGATGGGAGTCAAGGTCCATATCCGGCAGATCTGGGAAGCGTTCTCGAGGCGGCTCGATCGACTAACACTTGTTAGTACCAGAGTGACACAAGCATAGACTCACTTACACGCTCGTCATCTACATCATCTGCATCGTCTCCTCGAAGATGATATTGCTGATTCTCCATAGCGCCTTGGTCAATTTCATTGTCGCGTACAATCCGACAGAGTCTCTTGTTTCCTGTGGGATCAACATATGTTCCATCTCTTGGACCCTTCCTCCTTCGTTTTCGGCTTGCTATGTTTGCATAGCGAACTGTGTCATGATGAACCAAAGATGAAGCATTGGCGTCTGTCTTCATAGATTCTGAATTGGATCTATCGCTCTGGGGGTCCTCATCTTCTGCTCGAAGAGAAGAGCTGTGACTCCCCCTGTAGAGAGATTTCGGTGTGTACTCGAGAGGCAGCCAGAACGTCGGCAACAGTCAGGACCTTCCTCGTACTCCTACCGCGGGACAGATGAGCGGGTAGAGCAGCCCGCGCTTCGATTTCCTTCTTGAGCGCCATCTGTGCTTTCTCGTAGGGGCAACAAGCCGAAAATCGCGCAAGAGCGGCGAGGAGATGTTTCGACGGACTTTTCTGGGCGATCCATTCAGGTTCTAAGACGCGGTCGTACCACACTCCCCAATTTTCACGGATCTCCTTGCTTGAAGCTTCATAGCGTTCTCGTAGACTATAGGCCGCATTTCGTACCCCTTTGAGCCCGATATCCCCTCCAAAATGTTCTTGTACGAGCTGGTTCCAGCCTTGGAGCGACGTTTCATCCAGCTGATCCTGCCGGATGAGCCCCTCAACGTATTCAGCAATGGCACTGGCCGTCCAGGTCCATTTGTCCTCCTCCTCCTCTTTCCGTCGGGTGTCGTTTCGGAGGTAGTCTTCACAACAGCTGATGATCTCGGAGGAAGATAAACCTTGACATTGTAGGTTTTGGAGGAAGATTAACCTTGATATTGTAGTTGTAGTGTAGTCGGCGAGATAGTGTCCAAAGCACGGCCGGTCTGGGTATTCGCAAAGCCTTCTGTTAATGCATGCATGATGTGATTTCATTTTGCCTCTGCTTCACCCTTTACCTTCACCTTTACCTTCACGCCCGATCAAATACTCAGCCTTGCGAAAATGGAGAAAGTGATAGAAGTGTGGATATCGAGGATTACCCGATTACCCGATTACCCGATTGCTGTGCGGACCTCGGCACGCTAAGGGTAATAATTTGGTTAAGGGCTAAATTTTAATATATTAGCTAGTATATCTCTCTTTTATACTTAATAGAAGTTACTTATTTTAGATAATAAAAAATAAGTATATTTTATCTATTATATAGAGGTCTATATTAAAAGTTCTATATATATACTAAAACTCTTAATATTCTTAATAAATATTCTTATATATTTTAAATATTAATACTTTATATAATAGCGATATTAATACTTATTATATATTAGTATATATAATAGAATAAGATAGAGCTAAATTAGAAAATCTTAAATTTATATATATAGTTAATTATAAATTTATTAGATCTACGCTTTTTAATTAGATACCGCGAGTAAATAAATTAGCGTTTATAATTATTAAAAATCTATAAAAATCTATATATAGAAGTCTTTTCCTTTGAAATAACTAGCTCTCTATATATACTATTACTTTATAATTTTATAAATTATAAAGCTTAATATACGCTTTCTAACGCTATAAAAATAATAAAGTTTAATCTACTATTAATAAATTAAACTAATATTTAAATATTATAGTTATATTAAATACGTTCGAATAATAATTCTTTTATTTATTTATATAACTATTCTTCTTTTACTATTCTACTAATTCTATTAATTCTATTAATATAAATATAATCGTCTTCGATACTCCTCGCTTAAAGATTACTTAACGTTTTAGATATATATATCTCTTTTACTTATCTTTTAAAGTCTCTACTAACGCTCTTAAACTACTTCTTAATAAATTCGCTACTATTAATAATCGAGGTCGTAAGCGAGCTTAATAGCTATCTACTACTACTTATAAACGCGTTAAAAAACTCTTAAAAAGAGCTCGAATAAATATATTCTTCTCTATATACTCCTCTTAAGTTAGCGATAATATCTTTTAACTTAGCGATACTATCTTCTAAGATACGTCTTTCTTCTCTATTCTATTTTAAAGCCTCTTAACGCGTATTAAATTCTAAATATTATTAAGAAGAAGCTTCTAAAGATATAATAATTATATTAAACGCGTTCGAAATCGAATAATAATCCTTTCATCTATTTATATAATTATTCTTCTTTTACTATTCTATTAATTCTACTAATTCTATTAATTCTAATATAAATATATTTATCCTCGATATCCTCGCACTTAGTTAAATAAGAGAAGAATCTATAATAGACGAATACGGAGAATATTACGAAGAATATTACGAAGATAGTTATTAGTAATAGTAATATAATAGACTTACTCTTTACGATTTTATATTAGCTTTATACTTAGTAAGAGAAGAAATTATTATAGTAGATAAATGCGAAGAATATTACGAAGATAGTTATTAGTAGTAGTAATATAATAGATCTACTCTCTACGATCTTATATTAATTTACTTAGTTAATATAAGAGAAGTTACTATAGTAGACGAATACGAAGAATATTACGAAGAAACTAAGCGATAATAAGACTCTTAATATTAAGTACGATTTTATATTAAATTATTACTTAATAAGCGAAGAATACTACTATAACTTAGTTTATTATTCTTATTATATTAAGAAGTAAGAGAAGAAATTATAATAGATAAATATGAAGAATATTACGGAGAATACTATAGAGAATATTACGAAGAAATTAAGCGGTAATAAGACTCTTAATATTAAGAGCACGGCTTAGCTCTTTAAAATTCTATATTATATACTCTCTACGATTTCATATTAAATCATTACTTCGAAATAATATATATTTAAACGAATTAAAATCGTCCGATATCTTACTCTAATAGCTATTTTATTATTCGAAAGATTTTATTACGATAGAAGATAATGTGAGATTTATATCACTAATTAGTATATTATCTTTATTTCTTTTCGATATTTCGATACTTCTTGCTATAAGAATATGGCCTTTCTCTATTTTTTATAGATAGTTATTACGAATTAATTCTCTATACTCGATATATCTTTCTAATTAAGTCTTAGCGCGCCTCTCTTTATATATATATATTTATATATAGATTAAAAACGTATAGTAAGCGATTAGAGTTCGATTTAACTTAGAAAAATTCAACTTTATAAATTTAATTTATAGGCCTTTACTTATTAATATATATAAAAGAATAAAGTAGAGCTAAGCTTAAAAATCTTAAATTTATATATATAGTTAATTATAAATTTAAATTCGCTATACTCTTTAATTAGATCGACTAAGTTATCGCGAATAAATAAAATATATACTAGAGCGCGGGCTACTTAGTAGTAAAAAGCTAGTTAAATATTATAAAAATACTAAGAATATCGCTATAATTAAATATATTTATAATACTATATTTAATTAATTCTTCGAATTCTCTCTATAACGATATCTAAGAAATAGATTATATTATCGATTAATCTTAATATATATAAGATTCTCTATAGTCTTATAATTATCGTATTAAATTATAATAGATATTATCGAGTAGATATATATATTACGATTAAATATTAATCGTTCTAAGAAGACTAAGCGAGACTCGCTTTATATCTAAAAGTATATATTCTTAAGAGCGTTAAATAATTACTCGTAATATATTCCATCGTTATCCTTATTCTTATTATCCTTATTATTCTTATTATTCTTATTCTTATTATTTTAATCTTTACTCGTAGTAATAATATTAATAATATCGTTATATAGCTTTAGAATAGTATTCTATTTATAGAGAATTTAATCTTCTTCTAGCTATTCTACTATATCTTAAAGCTCTTTATCTTACTATTCTTATTAAATATAAATAAAATTCTTCGAATAATAAGTATTATAGTCTTATTAAGTGAAAAGACTATAATCTCGATATAAATCTTATATATTAAAAATTAGATATTATATAAGATTTTAATAGCGAAATTTAAGATTATTATATCGATAAAAAAAATCGAAGAGAAGTCTAATAGATAATTTATTAAAGTCTTTAAATATATATTAAAAAGATCTATAAGATATTATAAACTAAGGTTAATAGCGTATTATTATATTATAAAATATAGAATCTCGATATTATTATAAAATTTAACTTTATTAATTTCTTTAAAATTAGAGCTAATTTTAAGACCGTAATTAAGAGAGAGTATACTTATTTTTCCATTATTAACGCTTTTTTTAATAACGATTCGTAGTACGTATAATAATAAAAGAAGAGATATTATAATCGAAAAGAGTTAATTAAAATATAATTTATAGAAATAGAATTCTTTTAAAGAAGAAATAAAGAGAGACGAAGATAAAGTTATAATTATTAATAAAATTTAATATTCGTAATTAAGAAATTTAATTACTTTTCGAATAGATATCTAGCTTTCTCGATTTAGATCTTAATAATACTTTTAAAACTTATCGATAGAAAGAAAGCTAGCTTTTTAATTAGCGTTCGTAACTATTAAAATCTCGCCCTTCTACGCCTTAAGGGCCTTTTCACCTCTCTTATTAAAAAAATAGATATACGTTATTAACACATAGAATAACTTTTTTATTTTCTATTAAATTTTTAAGATTATTTTTTTAAATTGTAGAACGAAATCTAGGCTTTTAGATAAAAAAAGAATTTCTAAATTTAGTCTTATAATTATTAAAGCGTAAGGAATTCAAATATCGCTTATTAAAGTTCGCTCGATAGTCGAATAGTCTTAATTAGATATACATTATTTAATTTTAAAATAACTTTTTTATTTTCTATTAAAATTTTAAGATTTCTTTTTTAAATTATAGAATAAAATATAGGCTTTTAGATAAAAAAAGAATTTCTAAATTTAGTATTATAATTATTAAAAGGCAAGGTACTTAAATATCGCTTATTAAAGATCGCTTATCAAATTTACTCGATAGCTCTAATTAAAAAAATTATTATAAATTTAATTTATAGATCTTTACTCGTAATATATATATAGATAATATATAATAGCGATATTATTATATATATATAAAATATTAATATATATAAAAGAATAAGATAGAGTTAAGCTTAAAAATCTTAAATTTATATATATAGCCAATTATAAATTCGAGTTCTATACGCTTTTTAGCTAGATCGGCTGAGTTATCGCGGGCAAATAAATTAGCGTTCGTAATTATTAAAAAAATAGGTGTACGTTATTAACACATAGAATAACTTTTTTATTTTCTATTAAAATTTTGAGATTTTTTTTTAAAATTATAGAACGAATTGTGAACTTTCAAATAAAAAAGAATTCTTAAATTTAGTCTTATAATTATTAAAGCGCAAGGAATTCAAATATCGCTCACCAAAGTTCGCTCACCAAAGATCGCTCGATAGCCGGACAGCCCTAATTAAAAAAATGATTATGAATTTAATTTATAGGCCTTTACTCGTATAATTATAATATTATTATATATATTATAGCGATAGTAGCGATATTAATACTATATATACTTACGCTAATAGAGAAATAGAGAAATAGAGAAAGAATATAAAGAATTTTAATATATATTTAATATAGTAAGTAGATATCTTTTTATTACTTTTTAATTCTAATATATTTAATATTTAGAGTATTAATTATAATAATAAAATTAAATTTTAGATATTTATTTTAATCGAATATAGTATTATAGCGAAGATCGTTACAGTCATTATAGAAGTCTCTTATTAAATTATTACTCGCCTAAAATAATAAGCTCGTGATAGAGAATATAATCTTATCGTATCTAAAAAGCTATTATTATTATATATATTCGATATCTTTAAATCTAGACGACTCTTTATTATTATACTTAAGCTTAAGAATATTATTTTAATCGCTATATAAAAGAATTATTATAATTATAAAAAGAT